CCCCTAGTGCCCCTCGCCTACGGATCTGTAGTGTAGACCTGTACGAGGTAGGTTATTACTGTTATACAACATTACTACACCATGGGTGCCCCTAGTGCCCCTCGCCTACGGATCTGTAGTGTAGACCTGTACGAGGTAGGTTATTACTGTTATACAATATATACTGCACCATGGGTATTCTTATTCTCCCTTGCCTCAAGGTACTGTAGACCTGTTCATTTTTTTGCAATAAATCTTGAAAATAATGAAATACATGTAACTGGAATCTAGTATTACAGAATTATGGTCATTCAGTCTAAAAAAAAGAAACCAACTTTGTTTTCCTGGAAGCCCATTTGTACAAACATTCTTTTCACAGTCTGTAAAATAAATGTGTATGTAAGAATGGTGATAATCTTTGTGTACAGGCTACAGTTGAGTGGGACGAGCCAGCCATGCACAAGGAGATGTCACTGAAGGGATACCGACTCCTGGTGGATAACAAGCCGTTTAGACTCACGCCTCCCGAGAAGAGGAGTGTCGTCATTAATAAACTAGAGCCAGGTACGTCTTTACCACACAGGTTGTCAATCTTTGTATGGAATCTGACATAGAAATTCAAACGTTTGGAAGTTTGTGTGAGCATTTTAATAGCAGATACAGTATATAAAGTAATGTCCGAGCTAATTGTCTGGTGGGCTGACTTTTCGTCAGTTACACGATGAATATTCAACAGAATTTTAGTCATGTTAAATTGTGCTTTGCCTTGTCCAATCGTTCCTGGAAAACACAAAGAAATCAAATCAAAATTTCATTAAAAAATCTTCTGATTCCATGTCTGCTTGAAATGTAGGTGTGATGTCAACAAAGAAAAAATTGATGAAAATCGCGGCGTTTGGGCGTTTATTGTTAACGTAGACATGCATAGGAAAAAGGGCTCAAATTCTGTTTAAATTACATCTTGATGAGTTTTCTAGAACCACTTGATGAGAATAATGAAATGCAATATACCTTCTGAAAATGTGTTAATTATTTGTCAAGTAATCCCCAAATGGGATTTCACGACTAAGGTAGAAGATTCCCAGTTAAATCTTTGCAACTTGACTGATAATGTAGGAAGGTGCTACAAGTTGTGTGAATGTTTATTATAATGTTAGCCTGCAATGACGAGTGAAATGTATGATCAGACCAACAGTACGATCAGACCAACTGTACGCAAAATATGTCTGTATAGTGGCTTGACAAAGTGAAGACTACATTCAATATTGTCCCGCATGACAGCTCATCACCTGAGCGATTCGACCTGCCCACCAAGCATTCAGAGAAGTCAGCTCGGCAACTCTACAAATGCATGTTCACAACAGTACTTACTGTTATAAGCAATTAAATAATACCTTGGTTGTTTTTTCGTTATCATTTTCAATAGAAAAATGTCATTAGTGTGTTCATTGAACTAGTTAGGACATAGTGAATTCTTTGTAGATAATAATTGTCAAGGAAATTTACTTGATATGTCGAAAATAAAATGGTTTGTGTTTTACAGGGAAGACGATATGTGTACAGGTGAAGGCCGTTGCTAAGCAAGGTAACGGTATAGAGAGTGAAGCGTCACGTCCAATCTACATCTCCTGTCCACGGGCACCAGCACCAGCTGCCATATCTCAGGAGACGTCGATGAAAACAGGGTGTGTCCTCATCAGCTGGAGGAAGCCGGAGAGTCACGTACACACACCACAGGGAGAGTCCATCTGTTACTACCAGTACGTCTCAGGAATTATCAATTATATACCGTAATAGTCAAGCCTGCTAAAGTTTTACCGATTGGTCACACAAAGGACTGGTGTTTAATTCTCCCTAGCATTTGCAATTTTGAGGTCTATACGTATTGACAGATTTTCAGTTTTTGATCCCGTAATAAAGAATGCACTGTCCCTTTTCAAATTTTAGCAACTGAAGTACCTAAAAGGATGTTTAGGTTTTTATCCCATGTTAAAAAATTTACCTTCCTTTTTGAGATTTTCCTAGCTTTAAGAATCTTACAACTGTTTTTTTGGGCAACATTTTTAGATGAAATCCTTTCCCTTATTTACAAAGACCTGTGCTGTGAGATTTCTAAGAATGACATTTTCCTGTAGTTGTTTTTGTCTCGCCACCACGAAGTGGAAGCGAGACTTAGGTTTTGCTATTCTGGCGATGGCGTCATCATTAAGTTTTTACGTTTAAGCTAGTTTCACTGAAGGTATAAGTGCTACACCAACCAAACTTCGACCATAGATGCATCTTAGGTAATACATCTCAACCCATGCATCAAATGCTGGATGCGGTCCACATTTTACCACCATTTACTTTGTCAGCATCTTCATCAACATTAAATTTATGCATTTAAGTAAGTTTTATTGATATCTGCATTGATGGTCAAAGCGGGGCATAGGCGAGACATATCAATCCGAATGGTTTGTTTTGAGATATCTATAAAATATGCTTAATTATGTAACAGTGTTTGATATAATATTTATATAATAATGATATAAGCAACATCTTTGTAGAATTTACCAGAACGGTCAGAAGAGGGACATTGTGAAACCTAACAACAAGAGTAACCATCAAGGGTATCATCACTACCTGTATGACCTTCCAGCTGACCAGGCAGTGGACGTAGGGGTCAAGGTGAGTCAAAGGTCACCGTGTATAATCTATCATAATAGGTTGTTTTAGACAGCCACGGATGTGTCTGCTGATGTGTCTGTCACACTTAAACAGGAACCCATATTGTGTTGTTCTGGCCCCTACTTTATTAAGGTTCCTTTGATTATGTGGACAGGTTTTCTAAATGGAAGCTATGCATTTCCTATACACAATTTTAACTCATTTAACCCTGAAATATCATAATGAACTATTCCAACATTTGAATTTGAAGAGTTCAAATGTGTCTTCAGGGGTGAATGAGTTAATTTTAAGCAAATGCTTTAGTAGCAATGTTTCATGAAATAACCTGATAAATATTTATGATTCTTCTGCCCTTTTGATTCAAAGATTTGAAACTCAAAACACTGAAAATGAATTGTTCATACTTAACAACCTGAAGAAAATGTTTAGAAATACTGAAGATGTAATAATGCACACTAAAAATTTGTTTTTAATAAAGTGTGTTAGACGCTGATTAATGACAGAGGAGATGTTCTAGCATTATTTTTTATGTCTCTGTGTTTACAGTGTATTGCGGGAAGTATGAATGTCGACCCATTCCAAGATCAAGTCTTCTGTCGCAGTGAGAGCCATGTGTCCAACACACTGCGTGTCATTGCCCCCAGCGTGCCTCACTCCCCGAACCTCTACCTCGAATCCATGACTACTAAGGGCATAGAGGTCACATGGATGACACCTCAACAGTTGGGTGATGTCAAGCTTTCTGTGAGTATCTCATATAATTTATTACAACCGTCAGTTCAGGTCATTATAAACATGCATTTTAATATAAGATATTGTTTTTAGACTTTTTTGTCTCCATATTTTTGGTGGTTGTTAATATGAAAATGTTTCTTCTATTTCGCATAGATCTAACAGATGTTATCAAATATTCCTATGACTAAGTAGGAAATAGATGCATGACAAATAAGAAATTATCTCCCTTGTTTTATTTTTTCATTTTTTTCCCCATTGGTAATGAGGTTGCAGAGGAGCGTCTCCCCATTGTAAAGTTTTTCAAATGCTGTCTGTGCTTTCACTCCTAGCAAAGTTCGCTTCTATGGATTCCATGTTTGTAAATTTGTTGAGTGTCTTGGTTCCATTGTGTGTTTCCAGGGCTACCGTATGATGAAGAATGGACATCTGTATGGGGGCCTGATCCCACCCTACATCAACACCTGGACAATCAGTGACATCACACTGGGCGAGTCTGTTACACTGCAGCTTATTGCCCTCACAGAACACCCCATAGGCAAGATAGAGGCAGAGATTGCCAACCGCCAGAGGTCAGAGAAAGACAAGTTGGAAAAGATGGAGTCTGCAGGTAGGTCTTACTGGTTATCAAGTATGATACTGGTAGGCATATCATATAACCTGTGTTTCACATTTACCTGAGTGTCATATGCTTACCTGAGTATTACACACCTGAATGTCATACTCTAAGCTGAGTGTCACACTATTTCCTGAGTGTCATATGTTTATCTTAGTATAACACACTAACCTGAGTATCATACTATTTCCTGAATGTTATATGGTTACCTCAGTATTGTGCATTTACCTAAGGGTCACACATTTACCTGATCATCACACACTTACCTGAGTGTCACACTATTTCCTGAGTGTCATATGTTTATCTTAGTATAACACACTAACCTGAGTATCATACTATTTCCTGAATGTTATATGGTTACCTCAGTATTGTACATTTACCTAAGGGTCACACATTTACCTGATCATCACACACTTACCAGAGTGTCACACTATTTCCTGAATGTTGTATGTTTAACTGATTGTTACACACTACTTGAGTGTACAACACTTTCCTGAGTGTAATAATTACCTGAGTGTCACATACCTGTGTGTCACAATTACTTAAGTAAAGCACACCTGAGTGAAGCACACCTACCTTATTGTTTGTAATATTTAGGGCTGTATGATCGTTCCTGTAATTAACAGATGCTATCATTTCTTGGATGGAAAACTTTATCTGTATTGCTTGATGTTTGGTCGAATGTGTTATTGTATTGAATGTGTATTGTGTTGAATATGTATTGTATTGAATGTGTATTGTGTTAAATGTGTTATTGCGTGAATGTGTTATTGTGTTGAATGTATATTGTGTTGAATGTGTATTGTGTTGAATGTGTTATTGTGTTGAATGTGTATTGTGTTCAATGTGTAATTGTGTTCAATGTGTATTGTGTTGGTTGTGTATTGTGTTGAATGTGTTATTGTGTTGAATGTGTTATTGTGTTGAATGTGTTATTGTGTTCAATGTGTTATTGTGTTGAATGTATATTGTGCTGAATGTGTTATTGTGTTGCATTTGTTATTGTGTTGAATGTGTATTGTGTTGAATGTGTATTGTGTTGAATGTGTATTGTGTTTAATGTGTTATTGTGTTGAATGTGTATTGTGTTGAATGTGTTATTGTGTTGAATGTGTTATTGTGTTGCATTTGTTATTGTGTTGAATGTGTATTGTGTTGAATGTGTATTGTGTTGAATGTGTATTGTGTTGCATGTGTTATTGTGTTGAATGTGTTATTGTGTTGAATGTGTTATTGTGTTGAATGTACATTGTGTTGAATGTGTTATTGTGTTGAATGTACATGACTTATAACAGCCCTTGTTTATGTTTGTCAGATTAAGAATTGTTGATATAAAGTCAGGGTCGTAGTTATTAATGCATTTTCTCAGCAATCCTCCATAAGATACAATCAGTTAGCACCTGTCTGTAAGAACCATCCTATTTATAGAATAAATTGAACGCTATTATTATAACACCTCCGCCTGCAGTTTTCAGCCAAATTTCATAAAGCTTCACTGATATTATCATCACACTCTTGATTTGTGCACCTGCGAAAAAAAAATGATTTGGCGAACTTTGATGGGAGTTATTTACCAATTTGAATGACCCTACGTACGCAGAACTTATATTGAGTGGATGCGTAAATTGGGGTTACCTCCCCTATTTGTGGAGTCCTGCCCATTTGTAGAACTGTTCCTGCTGTTCTTGGTGCTGACAGTTTGCCATTCTGGGGACAAGTCTAGTTGTTCAAAGAGTTTATTTAAAAAGAAGCATTGGGATTCTGAAAAATAAATGAATAGAAAAAAGTGCATACATGTATTTGGATTTATTACGAAATATGGCAGTAAAGATCAAATAAATTAAATGTTTATTTTTCAAACTTTAAAGTTTTGTACTAAAAATATGGAAAGAAGAAATATGACCATGTTAGATATGTTTGAATTCTTTCTTTCACCAGTACCCCACATTTCTTGTTTCTTTAATACTTAGTATGTTTATTATAGTTTTATTATTTTGTTTGCACTATATACTAATCATGTTTTTGTTACATTACTATTTTAGTTACTTACTAATATTCTGTTTTTATTAAGTCATTATTTTAACTATGCACACTTTATACTAATACTGTTTTTACTATACATGTATCATTATTTTCATTCAATGCACTGTATGCTAATCCAGTTTTTAATACACTATTATTTTAACACACAGCTATATATGTATTTTTCTTTCACTACTTTCATTAACAGCAAAATCAATGAGTCGCAGTGCTCTGATAAAATACTCCAAAGACATGCCCACGAAGGGCTGGCCTAAGCTGCCTAGGTCTGCCCGAGACCCCTTTGGTAACACAGCCATATATATCCCATAATACTCTGCTGCTTCCTGTCTCTGTTCTATCCTGTGTCTATTACAGATGTCTGTTCCAACCAACCCTTGATTGTGTTATTTGAACTTGACATGACCAGATTAGAAAATGTTTTATAATCTTATGAACTGTTCTTATAGAGAAATGTTTCCAGATCTGTATAAACTTCTATCTATAATTTAGGAGAAGTCTGCTACCATGGCAAGCCTATTGATTTTGTCTGAGTCTATTGAAAGTGTTTTCCAATTTTGTGAAAAGAAAGAAATTTTACTGAATTAAAGAATTCATCAAAATGCATGGCTGAACTTTAATTCAGCATCAATGTGATTATGTGATATAACGGATTTTAATCAGAATTAAAAAATGATTTGGATTTTTTTTTACCTGTAAATTCAATAAATACCCATCTATACTATCCTCAATGGTTGGTGCATATATCAAAGACTTGACTTTCATTATCATCCCTTACCAGGCATACATGTAGCTCCTGTTGATGCTAGTCATACCTATATCTTAGTTACTAGATACCTGGTTAACACATCTACAAATAGGGGGGTATATCTGAACAGGATGTTGCCTAAAACAGGGTGAAAATAAATTCAAGTAACACTTGACAGACGAGAAATATTCACAGGTTCTAAGGTGGTGAGTTTATAAACAGAAAAATATATAATAAATCCAATAAAAGTTGAACATTCCTATTTAGATTTATTTTTGTTACCAAGTGGTACATATACTACATAAAAGAGGGGACTATAGAGTAGATTTGCACTTGTCCATCTGTTTAGAGAATGTCCATCAGTAGGTTGCCTGATTTGTATCCAATACAAAGTATACTCTGTCACCTAAAACTGCCAGATTTTGCAGGAGAACCTCTCGTAATGGCAGAATATTGCATACTGAAACAGGGTGTAATTGTCAACTATATATACAGAGTTATAGCCCTTTGTTTACTAGGAATTAATTTTACTGGGGCATGTCTTGAATACTCTTTCAGCTCCACTTGCCAAATTTTGCATGTGACTACCTCTTGGGATGACGGGTGTGTCGTACGAGGCTTTAATCTCCCAGCATGCATTTTTCCTATCTGGAATGTGACTGCTTTTCTACGTTATTGGCCGTGATAGGCTAGGACGTTTGTACTAGAGTTAGTGTATACCAAACCTGATACTGCATGCTTATGTTATGTATAACCATATCTGTCAATTAAATGGATATAGGCTATTTGAATTACATCTTATTCAAACAGTATTATGAATAATTTGATAATAAGATTACTACTTTATAGTTAAAGTGAATTAATAGTAACACAAAATTAGTATAAAGAAATAAGTAACACAAAATTCCATCAGATCTTTGATTGAGGATATAAAAACTATTATTTTTCTTAACTCAGTGATATTAATATGTAATATTAACTTTCAGAATATGCACCTGTATAAATACCCAGTATTGCAAAATGCAGAGCAAAACTGGGTTTAAATGGATATATTATGATTCCATTTGTGGAAGCAATACTTTTTTTTTTATACAAGAAATGACTTTGATTTGCTGAGCTAAAGTAGATTTTACTGTAGAGTATTATATATTGTTCCCATCAAAAATAGCTGTATGGTGAGATAAATGCATTAACTGGGTCAATTTCATGAAAGGCCACAAATGCAGTTAGGTAATGGGACATCAGACTCGCAGGTCATGAAATAACTTATGTAGACAAAATCAAACTTTGAATGTTGTTTGAGTTTACATTACCATACAAAAATGTGGTTTTAACTACATGTCAGTTTTGTATATATGGTATATTTGGTCTTAATAAATGCATGTTTTCCAAGAAAAGTTAATAATTTTATTGATGTTTGAAATTTGGACTTGTGTCTAAGATTACTTCTTGATCATCCGGTATCTGGTTAGTGGTGGCTGCATTAACAGGAAAGGTCTTTGGTACATTTAATTAGTCTCATCTCAGCTTACCGTTTTTAACCTGCAATTATCACAGGAGGCATACACAAAAAACTTTTACTCAAGGGGTGAGGGGGGGGGTCTTATAACAGGACAATGCAATAGCATGATACTGTCATTAACTTCCATATCAAATCATTATTGATGATACATTCTCTGTACCCATGTTTACAATTTTACAGACTCATCAAAATATTTTAAAAAATATATCCAAAACACAAATGTTTATGTTTTCAGAGGAGCACTTGGGTGACAGATATGCAGGTTGTCGTCCAGGACGTAAACTGAAAATGGTGTATTCTGGCTTAGTCCAGCCTCCTTCTGATGTGCGCATTCACCAGGTGACGGGCCATTCTGCCCTTATAGGATGGAGTGTGGGTAAGTACTTATGGTGTTGTTCCTAGTACCATGATAAAGGCAGTGCAAAGAATGCAGGTTAGAGCTGTGTGGTTGTGACTAAAACTATAAGTAATTGTACATGTGCTGGTGTTACTAAGACTATTGACAAATAATTCGGTAGTTAAAATGTACCGAGACAAGAAATTGAGGTTGTGACTAAAACTATATGTAATCGTACATGTGCTGGTGTTACCAAGACTATTGACAAGTAATTCGGTAGTTAGAATGTACGGAGACAAGTAATTGAGGTTGTTACTTAGGCGTCAATGTACTATGACATTAGTAAAGTTATTGGGGAGTTGTTACCAAGACTATTGTTATTTTTGAGGTTTTTACTAAGACATTGGACAAGCAATTGAGAGAACCTATTCTATATAGTGTGTATACACTCTCTATTGATAGGAACAATGTCCCGGGTCGAGTGACATATGACATATGCAATTTCGTCACATCGTTGTATAGGTAAACAATACAAATCACTCACTCAGTCATAGCTTGACAAAGGGACAAGTCGGTCTTGAAACATTGCATCACGTTTAATACCTATATTGTTTGTGTATAAAGTAAAACTTTTATATTACGTATTGCCAAATTGGTGAATCTTATTGAAGTAATTGAGAGGTTCTTACAAAGACTTGCGACAAATAATTATGAGGTTGACACCGTTGTTACTAAGACTTTGGGTATAAACCTCGTATGATTTTGGTGACTTGGTTTGTGATTTGTTATCTTTTTGTATCATATAAGTTATCTAAAAATGTTAAACTTTCCAAATCAAGGTGGGGTAGGTGATATACCCAGGTGGGCTATGTAGGGACAGCTCTTTCTTTTCTACAACGTATGTGATCTGATTGTGTTTAATTTGCAGTACCAAACACTATTAGTTATATTTATACTGTGGTATATATATATAATTTTTTTTCTTTAATTAACTTAAATTTATGCCAAATATATTTCTGATGTAAAGAAGACTAAAACACATTAATATAAAGCTAGAACAAGGAGGTGTAGACAGTGAGGATCTAGATTTGTAGAGGTAAGGTTGAGACTGGCATCCCCTCTCACCCCTGGGACCACAACCCTTTACACCTAACCTGACGACATCGACACAGTTCAAAGTCCTGGTTGATGATTATCGGAGTTAGATCATAAAACGACATTATCTATGTAGTGTAATCTACGGGATTAACGGGATTACATGGTATGGTGTCAAGTTGAATGCATCTTTTGTCGTTATCTAATTAACTATTTTTCATTACGGCAGACTTAAACAAAATCCAATGGGTACACAAATAGTTTCCAAACAGGTGAAGTGTGGACAAAATTGAAGTTGCAAAGTCCTTATTTTGAAATGCAGTTGAGGAAAATGCATCATAGAGTTGCTAATTTTTGCAATTGTAAATGTTTTTATTTGTATCCAGAACTTGTAAATTTTACTTTTTAACTCATTCATGAAATAAAACTGATAATGACTTAGGAATAGAAGATGTACCGTAGTCCCAATTTGTCTTGGTAGTTTTATTTACTTGCATGCCTTAAGTCTTCAATTACTCGAAGCCTACTCTTTCTGATAAGGTCGTCAGTAAACAAATTTACACCAATTGACTCGCACACAATAACCAAAGGTTAGAGATAAGTAGGCGGAACAATCAACAATACTTATATAGCATTGCTATCTGTTGTGATCTATCAGTTCATCGGATTGGAACAGCTATATTGTAGTTGGTATTTGTGTCGGTGTGTTTGATTGGAGGACTCATACATGGAGATTTAATTTGTATTTTTAATTCCTAACTGATCAACGTTACTACCTATATATAGTGACTGGATCAGTGACAAATATTTCACGTACATGCACCTTAGATAGCACAGTGGACTTGTCTATGTCAATGAATAGCACATTCTATTAGTAAATTTAGGGGTGAAGGATAAACCTTTGATTATATCTGAGGAGCCTAGATTGTACATTTGTGTATGGAATGTCCATGTTCTGACTTATCTGACCATTATTTGTTGTGTACATAGTATCGAGTTTGAAATTCAATCTTTTAAAATCTCTAGTAACTGTAAAATATATGATATTGGCGTGAAAAGGTAGGTATTATAACAAAATTGCTGATTTAAATAAAACTAGGTTACTATATTTAGTAATGCACTGTTTGATAATTGAAAGATATGTTAATATGTCTATTTGGTATATAGTCGTAATATCCCATCGACACCCTAATTAAGGTTCTACAGGTTTAAATGATAGGAAATAGGTTAATTGTATAGGAGTGTTCCAGACGGTGGCAAAGACGAAGAAAAGGATTTCGGTCCTGCAGTGGGATACAGCAGGCCGTTTCTGTCCCCCAAAACCCATCCTCAAAATCAAAATTATAAATAAAAGGAGTGTTTATACCCACTAGTGACAAAATAACCCTTTAACATGACATATTTTAAGTTAATTGTTCTTTCAGATGAAATCATTAGATCTGAGAATATGGGAAAATTGACCATTGGAAATATTAAATTCAAAGGGCCAAAATCAGGCATCTCCCTTCAAATAGGAGAGTTGACAAGTATGACATTTAGGAGAGTTGACAAGTATGACATTTAGGAGAGTTGCCAAGTATGACATTTAGGAGAGTTGACAAGTATGACATTTTGTGATGTGATGTGGGTGACTTGTTCATGGAAGCCAATGTCTTAATAGAGAATAAAAACTAGAATTGAGGAGAGAAGCTAGCTCACAGTATGAATCTTGTTTAAATTGTTAGTGAGAAACGATAAGTCCAGACTAATTAGGGTGAAATCTATCAGTCAAAAGGACGGTACAAATTTGTACTTTATAAAAAACGGTAGAAATCTTTGTGAAATAAATTAAACCCCCGGCAGATTAAAGGTGACAGATCTAACAGTTCAATCTTATACTTAAACAGTAATTACCGGGTATATAAAATCTAAGTCTCTCACATGCACTTTTATCTTTTATATATACCAGTAATTATTTTATGTCTGTCATCTTGTTTGAGAAATAGATGACAATAGCATATCACAAAAGCATGTGATATGCTAACGTATAGTTATCATTGCCTGATATTTAGATTGAATAAAAAGATTTAAAATTGAAAAATATTTTTTCGTCATGTTATAGAAAAAAATCCTATTCATTATCCTTAATTATGGGTATAATTATGTAACATTAGATATGAACAGAGCTATTCATTGAATTAGCTTTTAGTTTTTGCATAATTTACTAAAGAATCATTTTAGAAGATATGACTGTCTGTAATAGGAATGTCATAATGACAAGGTGTTTTTGTCGCGCCGTATACGTTCCTTGTGGTACATGGAAGTGGCGGTATTTGTCTTACGAAAGCCGAGTGTAATTAGAGATGGCAATCTGCTGTACGGAACCAACTTGTTCGTCTTTTAAACGTTTTAGGCTTGTTTGCATTGTCTCTGTATATACACACAGATCTGTACCAATGTTCAAACACATCTCAGGTTTCCAGATAGTGTGTCACTATACAACATCAACACAGCCGTCGTAAGGCATTCTGTCACCATATACCCTCTAACACACACAAAAATGTCCACGTAAATGTCCTTCAATTTGTGTCGGAATAAATTTCAATAACTAAAAAAACAATATGATTATAAAATATAACCATTGAAATGTCATTTTTGACATAATCTAAGGGTAAACAATTATATAAATGCCATTTTTAACATACAAAATAAAATAAAAATATGTTGAAAAAAAATTACAATGGATTTTTATCCTTTTGAATTGATGCAAATTTACTTTACCGGAGTTTTAAGTTTTTCAATGGGCTATTGGTTTACATTAAGCTAGTACACGTATAGTATATTAGCTTTGAAAACACAGAGTGCTGGGCAGAATAAAGAAAGACGACGATGTTGGAAAATTATTAAATATCTCCCGTGGTTAAGTCATAAAATTTAATTTGAACTGAAAAGTTATTGAAGTAGGCGTATTATTGTATGGGGTTAATTAGCCTGCATTGGCCGATTACACACATTTTAGTTATAAATATAGAATTTACTCACATGGAGTGGCTGTCAAACAGTTCAAAGATATGGGTCTCATTGTCAACGAGATTTATGGACTCGTAGAACAAATTCAATAGGATCGCATTTGTATTCCTAAAGAGTGATGACTGATTCAGAATTGACGGTCCGGATATATGTGTTCATGGTATAGTCGACTAGCAGTGGGGATTGGATCTCAATCAAAAATGTGTAATACGTGATTATGAATGGACATAGGTTGTTGTGTGACGACAATATTTACAATGTTATGGATATTTTTGTAACAACGGGACACCAGTGTTGTCATCAGTAATAGACATTCGAAACACCGGATGTTACGTTATATGTACGCAACCTTACTTAAAACTTTCATTGTTGGATATGGAAATTCAGCCTTGACATCTTTTGTGTATCATTTTCTTAATATGAACAAGAATTACTACTGTGCAATGTTTAAATGATATTTTGGTGTTTGTTCAGGATATGGTGTGAAAACAAATTTTTGTGTCAGAATTTTAATCATATTGATGTTTCTTATTGATACAGAATGGATACACATCGTTGGTCTTGCAAATTTCGTAAGGTCCAATACTTATTCTGTGTGGCAACTTTATCAAGTAGGAAAGCAAATAATTTATAAGTGGCCTCTAAATAAAGTGTATTGGAATACTGCTATTATACATTCGGCCAGTCAAAACATCGTGAGGTTGTGTTTGATCGTAACTTATTGTGTTCGTACTCTTGGATACAGACGTCATTGATCCATTTACAATCAATGTAACAGAACTGAAGTGTAAATTTCCTGTGTTTACTCTGTGAGTAATGAGTATGTTTGTGTTGTACTACAATGTACAACACTATAGAATGTATCGAAATATATGTAGATGTATCAGAAATGTGATGACCTTTGACATGGAAATGGACCGAAATTGATCTTCGAG